TCCAAATAGTTGTTAATGCACTGAAGTCTATCCCCCGGATGTGCGTGATAATCGAGTACGGGAACGGCAAATTTTTTCAAGCGCAAGTTCATAACTCGGTTATCAGACAAGCTAAAGCGTTTAAACCTTATGACGATGTTCCCCATCCAATATGGTGTTAATATGCTGAAATCTATCCCCCGGATGTGCGTGATAATCGAGTACGGGAACGCCAAATTTTTTCAAGCACAAGTTCATAACTCGGTTATCAGACAAGCTAAAGCGCTTAAACCTTATGACGATGTTCCCCATCCAATAAGGCTTGCCGCCGCCTAGGCTAGTTCCGAGCGTACCCGCACCTCATATAAAAACGAATTTGGAGAGGACACTGAGATTTTTACAGCTGTGCTCAAACTCAGCAGCTGCAGTTTTCCTTAAATCTAACTATTCCAACAGGTAGAGAAACCTCTACGCACAATTTGTAATATGGAATACATAAGAATCCTTACTGGTCACGAATAAAGGCAACGAATGTCACCCAGTCGAGCGTTACAATTGCACTGAGGACAACGGCCACTGCGATCGTTTCGAGTGCAGCGTTCAATACACGACTTCCCAAATAAATGTCCACATTTAAAACACACAATCCTGGAAATGTATTAATTTTTAGTTTGAAAATAAATGATGTATAACCTTGATAATTGCATAGTTTCCAACAAATGCTGATTTTAATATGCGAGATAGAGTACGGGTGCACAATAAATCAACTCACTTTTCTTGAAGAATAACCGCACCGTTTGGTCACGTCCACTACGCAGTGATTGCAAGCTTATATTAATGACGCTAGTGTGCATGCGCGCTACTACAAAACGACAACTAATCGAGGTGTAATTGAGCTTAATCCAGCTCAGTTTGGCGCTTCACCTACAGCAACTGACCGCATTCTCAGTCAAATTTTTATCCCAATTCACCTTCTCGCACTTTTAAATGGTATAGGGGTTAGGTTCAAGCAAATTTGTACCAAAATTCAGTACCGGAAGAACAGTCGAGACATATGTTAGCGCTTCGATCAGCCACTGTTTGAACGCGGCCCAAAGACGGTATACCATCAGTTCGCATTGCTTTTTTATCTACCAAAACTCCCACGGTAGTGATGTCACTGTGATGCTCCCACAAGTCGGCCGTAGGTATGCCAGGTCCTTCGTTTCAGAGCTGTGTACTCTTGGTTATTATTCATTATTCTTTGATATGTATGCTCCACCTCTTCGGAGTTAGCCGTAGTGGTCGCTCACTTTTTTTTGGATACCACTCACTGATTAAAAAATTTCACGGGGCCGTACGTGATACCCACGAGCATGAGGAGGTTGAATTTAAGTTTTATAGGTCACACGTAGGCAGGTGACATACCCATAAGATTTTAGCTCCCTAGCTTCCGTGATTCCCGAGATAACTTTACTTGCAAGAAATTTCACGGGGCCGTAAGTGTTACCCATAAGAACGGAAGGCTGTAAATTTGCGGGGTCACACGTTGGCGAGGAACATTCTACTAGAATTTCAGCCGCCTCGCTTTTATGGTTCCCGAGTTGAAAGTGCGGGACAAAATGTGGGACACACACACACACACAAACACACACACAGACAATCCCGTGACAATATGCGTTTTGTGCTGCTGTCACACAGCGCAAAACGCATAAAAAAGTAGAGTAAAAAGATAGAGTAAAAAGAAAATTCGAAAGAAGGGAAGAAAGATGGTGAATCATCAAGCAGTTCTGGCAGATTCAGCGATTAAAAAGCTATATGGATCAGATTACAGGTGTTCCCCTACTAGTCCTAATACTACTATACTTTTCCTGTGAGAATATTTTTTTACTATGTATAACCTACTTTTTTCAACCACAAAAGACGACATTCTACAAAAAGATTACAATCTGGAAAAGTTATCATAGTCAAAGGGAAACAAATAGGATACTTCGAAGTTTTTCAAGAAGTTCAGGTCCCGAAAGTTTTCAGTATTCCCACAATCCCCTAAATCAGGTTGGCAGAACTGTTACGTCTCCTGGCCTAGAACATGGCTCGGATGAGCGGGACGCCCCTTCTTTCAGACTACACCCATAAGCCATGCTGTATGAGAGTGCCCAGCACTTGGGCACAATATTCGGCATGTTTTCAAATTTCGGTTTTCTATATTTATTTCACTAGTACTCACTAGGGCATAGAGTGCGGAAGCGGCACGCCTTCGCTAGAAATTTGCAGTAGGCGTACATACCGCTCGTCGATATGCTTCGTTTTGGGGCTGTGGCAATCCAGCTGCTCTGCACGCCCATCGGTACCTTCAAGCGCACTGAAAACCTCAGATCCACCGGGCTGATATCTACAGCATATGGCGACAATCACTTCCTACCCCATCGCATTACCG